ACACGTTATTCAACCAAAAACATTAAAAATAAATACATGAATGTTGGATGTACAAATATCGAGACACGTCGTACAGCAATGTAAATTCACTCTCGGTATAACAGTCATATTCGGGAATAGGTCTCGTTTGGTACTTAGCAGACATACAACATAGATATTAAACCACAATCTAAGACGTGGTAAAAATGTCATTAGTTAGTTTAGACACAGACACATCGTATAGATCAACCAATTCGTGATGGTGTCCATAAAATTTACGGATTGTCATTTTTAGTCTTTCCTCCTCATAACTCTGTTGGAGCAGTTTCTGCGTAAGGAGTACACTCCTGTATATGAAGTCAGTATATTGTGAACATGCACGAGCATAACGTATCAATTGAGATATGTACACACCATACGACGGAGCAGAGGGTATGTTACTGCAGAGAAATGGGAAATTGATAATTGGGAAGTTGAAATCATCCCGTTTGTCATAGATTTTAGTGTGAAGTCGTCCATCTGTGTTAATATTGGGGAAAAGTACTGGTATTTGGAAATCAGTTAACATCTGTGCAGTTTTGACAAGACAGAAAAGAAATGAGATCCGATATATAATAGATTAATTTCTCTCTGCACATAATGTAAACTAAGGGAGCATATTAAAATCAACCAGAGTATGCCTCATGTTTATATACACAACAGCACTACTGTTAAACTGGTCATGGTAACGGCAGTTGATCAGGAACTACTTAACCTTCGGACGCATTTGAGTACATGGGTTGTTTAATAGGGTTCGTGTTGCTCAATTTATGGGTTTCTGACTAAAATTTCGTGTACTTTTGTTTGTCTTTTTATTTTTTCGTTTTGGGCATGCTGTTGTCCCTTTTTTTCTTCTACTCATGAGTTTTTTGTTAACCTTTGGTATATTTTTTATCCAACATAGTACTAACAATACTTCGTTTTAGTATATAAGATAAGAACATTCCTTATAAGCTTTATCAATATGCTTTCTCTTGTTTCAATATCTTCGTTGCCATTAACAGTTATTTGAAGTAATCGTATCAGTTTTGAATTCTTAAAACAAGCGTGTATCAATATTAGATTTAACCTTAATGATTAATCGGGGCCTCGGTAATTGAGTGGTATAAGTAGTCAAACTACTGTATCGCTAGCATAAGAACACTGAGGTTGTGAGTTCGAATCTCGCACTTGGAAGGTGCACTCGACTCCAATCTTAATTGATTAAGTTTGCCAGTTTTCAAACCGAAAGTCGGTTGTTCTCTCCGGGCACTCCGATTTCTCTACCAATAAAAACTTACCGCCACGAAATAGCACAGTAGTGCTGATAGTGGCGTTAAACACCAATAAATCAACCAATCGTAATGATATAAACCAAACAGTATAAAAAAGACAACAAATATCATGTTTGCATTATGCAGTTTTAATGAAGCTTTCAAGGATTCATTTTCAGTAACTTAAAAACTTTTGGCCCTTCTATACTCGCAATTTCTGTAGTATTTAAAGGCGTCAATCCAGCAAACGGCATTCCTTTAGTCATCTCTACATTTAATTCCCTTCCGTTTGGAGCTAAAAACGTTATTTTTGAATCGGATAGGTAATACTCGCTGTTGATCTTTTCTAAAGACGACAGCTCCATAACAATCTGAAAAAAAATAATATAGAATTCAAATTTCTGAAATATAATAAATAAATTAAAAAAAATATATAATTCATTTAAAAGTATAAAATCAGCTCCCGGAATTATTATATATCAGAAATGTTCTTTTACCATTTCTTGATAAGAATACCGAGATGATTTCAAATGAGACAACTACTAGTATTCATAATGATCAAAAGACAAAGATGTGAACAGTTACAGGTCATCGTATTACCTATATCAATGAGAAAAGCCAATGCCGTATTACTATAAAAGGCACTGGGGTGATAAATGACAATTCTAAAGAAAATGCAACGGCCTGATTTATTGATATTGGAATTAGAATTCGATGTATTTAAAGTCAGTGTTTAAGGGTAACAACCAACAGTATAATTATTTAATTCAAAGTTATGTAACAGAAAAATATCATAACGGAAAGTGTTGTCAATGTTCTTTTATCAAACAGAATTTAGAGGAATCTTTACTGAGTTTTACTAGATTTCATAACCATAAAGGAACAAGTCTGCTATTGAAGTGACACAATTGGTGTCCATATGAATATCTTCAACCTCTCAATAAACTTAGTTTTATCTATTTGGATAGACTGTACAAACTATAAAAAATATGCTGATTTAAACTATCTCTGCTTCTATCATAATTATTTTACTTAATTCAGTTAATTCAGCAGATTCATAAAATACATCTAGGTAGCAGCCAGTTGGTATTGGTTCGGGAAAGAGTTTTGTCAAACTCCCCAAAAAGACACTATTCATCTACTATTGAAAGCAAAACAGCTTTTATAATTTACAATGTATACCTTAGCTAACTTCCTGTAGTGATATTTTCACCCTTCCTTCCAATGTATTTGCCTTTTTTATTTCATTGTTAAAGTTAAAAGCCATCCTGTTGGTAGCTGCACTGTGTATATTTACTGTGAATTCTAATTTTACGACATCTGGTCTAGACAGGCAGAAAGGAAAAGGCGTGGGGTGTGCAAACCTAATTGAAAACTGATTTTACTCTACCAAATGTGTACCTGTAAAAAGTCAGGCTTTTTGAACAATGTGTTGTTCGTTGTTGTTTAACATTGTACATCTGTTTTTTTTTTTTTGGCGGATTTTGGGTGTTGATGGTTGATTATGTTCGCTGAACAGTGCAGTATGTTTGGCAATTCCTGTTACACCTTTTTTATTATGATAGCATGTATTATTTACCTTTGTAACAAGTTGATTATTAACTGTAAAATCATGCAAGTTGCTTAAATCACGTCAACTATAATAGGAAAACAAAGGAACAACAGGAACACCGAAGTGCAACAAAAACAAACGCCAACACACATGGAAACGAACTATTTGATAACAACTGCCATATTCCTGACTTGGTACAGGACATTTTAAGAAAAAAATGGTGGGTTTAACCTGGTTTAATGGCATGCCAAACCTCCCGCTTTATGACAATGTTAAAAAATATCGCTAAAACACTACGTGACAGAAATAAAACACAAACACACACAAGAACATTCATAACAGAGAAACGCACAAACAAATTATATAATAGTCGACATAACATGCAAACCGCAGAACAACAACGAACATATTCCATCGACGATACACACCACAGGATATCAAAAACAGTGACGCGCTTACGTAACTAACATGCAATCTCGAACTCCATACAATTATCATACAATATTCATCCAAACAACCCTCATGACAATGATGGCATGGAAAGGCAATTTTATAATTATTTGGACTACAAACGATAAGACATAACAGATTGTTCAATCGAAACCATAACAGAAACATCAAAAATAAATCCATGAAAGTTGGATGTACAAAACACCAAGACACGCTACACAGCAGTGCAAAATCAAAATCAGCACAACAGCCACATTCGGGAACACGACAACGGCGGCACTGAAAGGCAATTTTATAATCATTTTTGGACAACAAACGATACGACATAACACGTTATTCAACCAAAAACATTAAAAATAAATACATGAATGTTGGATGTACAAATATCGAGACACGTCGTACAGCAATGTAAATTCACTCTCGGTATAACAGTCATATTCGGGAATAGGTCTCGTTTGGTACTTAGCAGACATACAACATAGATATTAAACCACAATCTAAGACGTGGTAAAAATGTCATTAGTTAGTTTAGACACAGACACATCGTATAGATCAACCAATTCGTGATGGTGTCCATAAAATTTACGGATTGTCATTTTTAGTCTTTCCTCCTCATAACTCTGTTGGAGCAGTTTCTGCGTAAGGAGTACACTCCTGTATATGAAGTCAGTATATTGTGAACATGCACGAGCATAACGTATCAATTGAGATATGTACACACCATACGACGGAGCAGAGGGTATGTTACTGCAGAGAAATGGGAAATTGATAATTGGGAAGTTGAAATCATCCCGTTTGTCATAGATTTTAGTGTGAAGTCGTCCATCTGTGTTAATATTGGGGAAAAGTACTGGTATTTGGAAATCAGTTAACATCTGTGCAGTTTTGACAAGACAGAAAAGAAATGAGATCCGATATATAATAGATTAATTTCTCTCTGCACATAATGTAAACTAAGGGAGCATATTAAAATCAACCAGAGTATACCTCATGTTTATATACACAACAGCACTACTGTTAAACTGGTCATGGTAACGGCAGTTGATCAGGAACTACTTAACCTTCGGACGCATTTGAGTACATGGGTTGTTTAATAGGGTTCGTGTTGCTCAATTTATGGGTTTCTGACTAAAATTTCGTGTACTTTTGTTTGTCTTTTTATTTTTTCGTTTTGGGCATGCTGTTGTCCCTTTTTTTCTTCTACTCATGAGTTTTTTGTTAACCTTTGGTATATTTTTTATCCAACATAGTACTAACAATACTTCGTTTTAGTATATAAGATAAGAACATTCCTTATAAGCTTTATCAATATGCTTTCTCTTGTTTCAATTTCTTCGTTGCCATTAACAGTTATTTGAAGTAATCGTATCAGTTTTGAATTCTTAAAACAAGCGTGTATCAATATTAGATTTAACCTTAATGATTAATCGGGGCCTCGGTAATTGAGTGGTATAAGTAGTCAAACTACTGTATCGCTAGCATAAGAACACTGAGGTTGTGAGTTCGAATCTCGCACTTGGAAGGTGCACTCGACTCCAATCTTAATTGATTTAGTTTGCCAGTTTTCAAACCGAAAGTCGGTTGTTCTCTCCGGGCACTCCGATTTCTCTACCAATAAAAACTTACCGCCACGAAATAGCACAGTAGTGCTGATAGTGGCGTTAAACACCAATAAATCAACCAATCGTAATGATATAAACCAAACAGTATAAAAAAGACAACAAATATCATGTTTGCATTATGCAGTTTTAATGAAGCTTTCAAGGATTCATTTTTAGTAACTTAAAAACTTTTGGCCCTTCTATACTCGCAATTTCTGTAGTATTTAAAGGCGTCAATCCAGCAAACGGCATTCCTTTAGTCATCTCTACATTTAATTCCCTTCCGTTTGGAGCTAAAAACGTTATTTTTGAATCGGATAGGTAATACTCGCTGTTGATCTTTTCTAAAGACGACAGCTCCATAACAATCTGAAAAAAAATAATATAGAATTCAAATTTCTGAAATATAATAAATAAATTAAAAAAAATATATAATTCATTTAAAAGTATAAAATCAGCTCCCGAAATTATTATATATCAGAAATGTTCTTTTACCATTTCTTGATAAGAATACCGAGATGATTTCAAATGAGACAACTACTAGTATTCATAATGATCAAAAGACAAAGATGTGAACAGTTACAGGTCATCGTATTACCTATATCAATGAAAAAAGCCAATGCCGTATTACTATAAAAGGCACTGGGGTGATAAATGACAATTCTAAAGAAAATGCAACGGCCTGATTTATTGATATTGGAATTAGAATTCGATGTATTTAAAGTCAGTGTTTAAGGGTGCCAACCAACAGTATAATTATTTAATTCAAAGTTATGTAACAGAAAAATATCATAACGGAAAGTGTTGTCAATGTTCTTTTATCAAACAGAATTTAGAGGAATCTTTACTGAGTTTTACTAGATTTCATAACCATAAAGGAACAAGTCTGCTATTGAAGTGACACAATTGGTGTCCATATGAATATCTTCAACCTCTCAATAAACTTAGTTTTATCTATTTGGATAGACTGTACAAACTATAAAAAATATGCTGATTTAAACTATCTCTGCTTCTATCATAATTATTTTACTTAATTCAGTTAATTCAGCAGATTCATAACATACATCTAGGTAGCAGCCAGTTGGTATTGGTTCGGGAAAGAGTTTTGTCAAACTCCACAAAAAGACACTATTCATCTACTATTGAAAGCAAAACAGCTTTTATAATTTACAATGTATACCTTAGCTAACTTCCTGTAGTGATATTTTCACCCTTCCTTCCAATGTATTTGCCTTTTTTATTTCATTGTTAAAGTTAAAAGCCATCCTGTTGGTAGCTGCACTGTGTATATTTACTGTGAATTCTAATTTTACGACATCTGGTCTAGACAGGCAGAAAGGAAAAGGCGTGGGGTGTGCAAACCTAATTGAAAACTGATTTTACTCTACCAAATGTGTACCTGTAAAAAGTCAGGCTTTTTGAACAATGTGTTGTTCGTTGTTGTTTAACATTGTACATCTGTTTTTTTTTTTTTGGCGGATTTTGGGTGTTGATGGTTGATTATGTTCGCTGAACAGTGCAGTATTTTTGGCAATTCCTGTTACACCTTTTTTATTATGATAGCATGTATTATTTACCTTTGTAACAAGTTGATTATTAACTGTAAAATCATGCAAGTTGCTTAAATCATTAAACTCCGAATCGAGATTAGCTTGATTTGAGAAATAACTGGATCCAAACACTGCAACAAAAATCAAAATCTTTTTAATTACTTACAGATAAGGGAAAATACTAAGATCATTGTGTTTTCATCAGAAACGTTAAATCAGCTTAACAAAATAAGGATTTTTATAAACTATGTACATGGTAAAATTTAGATAAAAACAGAGTAGTAATTGCATGCAAAATGCAAACAAAATTCCAGCAATACTTGCCTGTTGAAAAGTTATTATTGACAAACCATACTTCAAGGATTGTCTCGCTGTGTTGAAGATCCATTGGTGGCCTTTGGCTGTTTTCTGCTCTTTGGTCGGGTTGTTGTCTCTTTGACTCATTCCCCATTTCCATTCTCAATCTTATTCAACCCTTTTGTTATTTGCATTTATATTTACCAAAAAAATAAGCTTTGTAATACAAAACAAACAAATGTAGCGAGAATAAAATGGAAAATTTACAAGGCATCTAATCAGTAGTGTCGGATCCAAAGCGAAGAGGGCGTATGCACGCCCTTTGATTACCCCCCTAAAAAATCATTTAAATCAAGGAATTACACCCATTTCAGAAATCCTGGATCTGCCCCTAAAATTGCTTTATAGAAAAAATAGCATGATAATAAGATTATGCATATAAAATTGTAATTTTCAAAATCTGAAGTTGAGTCGAAACATTCACCAATCCCAACAACAACATAAAGGATTTATAGTAATTTGATCTAAGCATTCTAGAATAAGTATGTGACATCTTATAAATTGCTTGAAATCTGATGGATAGAGTCCCATAATTTTAGAACCAAAAATTTTCAAAATCGAAAAAGAACTTGCAAAGATAATTGTCGACAAGTCAACATTTTGATGTAAAAGAAAAACACCTTGCAGGATATAATTCCATGGCTTTGTTCTTTAATTCACAGTTGATGCGTAATCGTCAGTTAGCAAAGAATTCCGCTCAAACCGGTGCTAGAGGCCGTCTTTAACTTGCAGTGAGGTGAGAGTTTGTTTGATCCGTGTTGAAAGCCTCACTGTGCTTTTGAGATGTAGAACACCAATAGACGCGATGTTCTTTTGGTTTCGCTGTGCAAATATTCATGTTGTGTCAAGGATGGATACCCGTATTCTTTCTTTTCTATTAACAGAAAGTTGTGTATGGTGTCCTTTTTTTGGGGGGGATAGGGAATATTTGTATCTTTTATTTTCGGATTATTGTAAATGTCTGTTTAAAAATGAAAAAAAAAAAAAAAAGAAGAATGAAAATGATGCTGCTTGAACCCTCACTAGTCATACCATCGTCTATTAAGCCTTCCAACAATATAACAAAAGAAATATTAAAGCCATATGAAAAGAATCTCTGGTGATTATACTGTTTAGGAACGCTTGATCATTATACAAGTGAAAATAAGAGTCGACAAGGAGAGGCGCACAGCTCGTTTCCATATTTGGGTATGTTGGATAGGTGCAGAAATTTTGACTTGTAATAGACCACCAAGAGACCCCTCAGAAAGTTGTACAAGGGGTCTTAGAAATATGTAGCAAAGGGTCTTAAACGTGATTCTCCCTACACGAGACGATTTAACGTCCTCATTCTGACCTGACCTTGCCTCGAATTTATACAAGTCTAAGAATTACCATATTTTGATACCCCAGTCAACCTATGGAGTTAACACATATTGAAGAGAGGCGAAAGGTACCAAAGGGATATTCAAACTCATAAGTCGAAAACAAACTGACAACGCCATGGCTAAAAACAAAATACGATCAAAAGACAAACAACAGTACACGAAACACAACATAAAAAACTATATACTGAGCAACAGCAACCCCACATAGGAGTTAAAATAAAACCTGTTTTCATTTGCCTTTCAATTTTGGCAGTATAGATAGAGAGGCGAATCATTCATATTTCCAAATGTTATTGAAAAAATTGTTGGGATCAAAGAATATTTGGAATTAGTCATACTTGAAAGAAAAATATTAAGCTTTATTTTTTGTCACAAAATTCATTTTACTTATTTATTATTTCAATCGCCGTATAATATTCCCAGTCAAAAAATAAGATTAAAATTGCTCAATGAAACAAGAATGTGTAAATGTAACACTGTATGAAAATATGTTCGCAGTTGTATAAACTGGCTGAATTTGCTCACTTAGTTATCTGTTGATCCACCATTTTCTTTGGAAAAATGGTTGTTCCAAGTCAGGAAAATGACAGTGGTTTCCATTTGTTCCGTTGGTTGATATAGTCTATCGTTTGATTTGGTTAGTTTTTATGGACTTCCCCCTTTTTGAATTTTCCTTGGAGTTCGGTATTTTTGTTAATACCTGTTTGAACCCCAAAAAAATCATGCTTTATTAATTATTCTTAAATATTTACCTCTGTACTACCAGGTAGATTTCATACCACGATGTCATGAAAATTGTAGAACTCATGATTGTGTGATATCCAAATTAAATTTTTTTTAAATAAAAAGAACTATTTTTTAATCAAATTCATGCAAGTGGAATGATCAATCATACGTTTACAATCGATCCGTGTTTTGCATGAAATTAGCCATATCTACCATCAAATTATGGTATGTATATTTTGCTGCAGAAACCTTTTAGCAAGAAAATATTGCGTTAATTGAAATAATTTTTAAGAAACGAAAAATAACCATAATATATGACAAGTCTTTCCGTTTGTTATACATGCTGGTTTAACGTTAACCTTGAGAAATTGTAATACTAAGTATATCAAAATCTAGAAAAAAATCGAAATTAACACAGAAGGTTTTTCACTTTTGCATGAAGGTTATTAGTTAGAATCTTGGGTTTTTTTCACAAGATACTTGCTTATTGCTTAGACTTTTAAATTAGGATTGACATTTAAAATCTTGCTGCCAAGCATGCTCAAAATTATTATTGAAAGTAGTTTAAGGAGCTGACAGCATAAGCTTTTCGATTATTGTTCAGATAGTAGTTAGTAGTTAGAAAGTGGTAAAAGGGATAAGCGGCACAACGAAATGCAATGGTTTACGTGTATAAATCACATCATTTTTTTCATATTTTCATTGCTAAATAAACAGTTTTTGTCATTGAACGCCCATCAGTTTTCAGCCATTATGAGGATTTTGTGAATTTCTACCATTGAGGGGAATAAATGAACCTAACTAAAGTCTAGCACGGATGACCCTTTTTATAGCCAAAGACGTTGTCGGAGAATTTTTGAAAGTACAATTAAATGAACTGGTAGGTAAAGATTCTAACTTAAACAATTACATCAAATGACGATATAAGAATTAAATGAATATCTGTCCATGATTTTAATAACACATTTCCTTGTTAACATACATTGAACTTTGCATTTTTTGTAGAGCCAACTGCACCTGTGGTAAAGACAGGCTATCTGAAGATTTATGAAAGTACGTATGAAAAATCAATCAACATAAAAGACATAAGCTTGACAAAAATAAGGATAATAGTATGAAAGTAAATAACAATTCACGGACAGGTTAAGAATATTAATTACATAACTGAGAGTAACGGATATAACAGCAACTAGCGTAATGATGCCACTGTTTTTGGGCGATCATCTTATTAAACTCGGTATTACTATTTCAACGAGAAAATTCTTGGTAAGTTGCTACTTTCCATTTATATGCGGTCAAGATGTCTTATTAATGGCGCATCACAAAGTGAAAGATGAAAAGAAGAAACAACAACAGAACGTATTTTTAGAACATTCCGTTCTAACATTTAAATTAAATACAAAGAAACCAAACATACATTTTGTAGCTTCATGCAATACTAGATAAGATAATTTACATCACATAAATACACCTTTGCCTGTAGTTTATTTCTAACATGAAGTTTATAATTAATATCAATATACATTTGTTCACAGAGGGATTCATTAGCAAAGGCTGGAAATCTCGATATTTTGTATTGTATCAAGACAGCAGTCTAATATGGTTTAACGACCACAGCAGTTACCAGCACAGTGGTGGTGTTAAACTGAAGGTGATTTTTTTTAAAACTTTTTTTTATATATTACAGTTTAAATGTCGTCATTTTATTGTGACAAAAATTTAAATAACTCATCAAAGATACCAGTCTTATACTTTTATCGCCAGACGCGCGTTTTGGTCTACAGAAGACTCATCTGTGACCCTCGAATAAAAAACGTTAAAAGGCCAAATAAAGTACGAAGTTGAGCATTGAGGACTCAAAATTTCGAAGGTTTTGCCAAATACAGCTAAGCTAATTTATTCATGGGGTAGAAAATCCTTAAGATTGTAAGAGTGAACTTACATTTGGAAGGCATACCTAAAATTCTAATTATGTAGGAAAATCTTGATCTTTTCATCCTTAAGACCTTTCATATTTAAATGTTACAAGAGAAGAAAAAAAAACCACACACAAAGACGTATACCATATAACCACATCACATTTAAACTTATGATACGACATACACATCTCTCAGTTTTGCTGTGACGTTTTTCTTCAATATAAAAAAATAGTTATTGATGTTATTTAAGATCCTTATAAGATATACAGTATTCATGAACTTCATGTTTAAATTAGGCATTCGACAATCAAAACAGAATTTTTGTTTTTCTGTCGAAAATACATATATTAAAACATAAGATTATTTCGTTCGCTGAATTTAAATAAAAGTGGGCGCTCAAATCCTTGCTTTCAATTTATGTTCATACATGCATAGAAGTATGTAATTGATCATTGACTGCTTATAAACTCTCCCTGTCAAGATTGAGCTAGACAAAATATTGCACTCCTGTTTAATTGTTTCTTTTTTTTTGTGTTTTTATGGTATGTAAACACGATTTACGTCCCTCTTTGATTACATTTATACTCACGTAACAGTTGTTGATTTCAGATGGTAGCAAACTATATGGCAGTAGGACCAATGTGTCTTCATATAACAGGGAGACCAGATCTTCCCAAAGGCAGATTGGCAACTCATATGATGGGTATACCTAATATTTTCAAGAAAGGAACGAAGAAACAAAATATCGTCATGAACTGGATATT